AACATAGTTTGTTATAAACATAAAACCTTTTCGCATTTTTTAAAATATGCAAGGATCAATTTAATTTCAATCACAACATATTTACAGCATAAATTTGTTTTTTTAAGAAAGTAATCGATACTTTAACGTTTTCCGACCATTTTATCTTTCACTGCAATTATGAAAGAAAGCATCGCTTTTTATAATAATATATATATAATAATTAAAATATAGAGTGATAATACAAGATATTGTTGATTTTCTATCTTTGGGTCCATAAATTAATTTTTTTATTAAAATGTCCGATTTCATTTCCTCCATCAAAAAGTTTTTTTTTAAAAAAAAAATAAAGAAAAATATTAGTTATAATTTTACAATAAAAATAAATTTAAAAAAAGTTTTTTGGTTTCGCAGCGTGTTTTTTTGTAAAAGACCATCTAGTTAATTCTAAGTAGCGTAGCGTTATCGGGAAAGTCTTTCATTTCATTTGTTAGCGTAATCGTCCGTTTCTATGTTTAAATAAAATAAAATAAAGGGGTGGGTGTGAGTAATTCTCGCGGTTAACTACTCCCTAAGGAAGATCAGCCAAAACCAATGGACCACTTCAAAATGCTCTGGATTTTTTAGGATATTACCTATATAATACTTCTCCCATTATCAGTTTAGTTCTACCTGTATCAGAAAATGGACTTTTCTCGCATCTACCTTGAATTTTAAATCTTGACGTGAAAAGTCCTTCGTTTCGTTATCAGTAGGAGATAATGCGTTGCCACCTTAGTAGATCTTAATTGTTTTGAGAATGCGTATAATTGCTCAAATTTATGATGAAGTCATAGTTTTTATTACGTAATTTTATGTGGATTTTAAAATAGTAATATGTCAAGATTGCTTATCTATATTCTATATTACCTAATTTACTTATCTTTTATATATTCCCGTCAACTTCTAAACTGGTTTTGTAAGAATGATAATTAATAAAATTCAACTAGATTAATTTTGTTTTCTTAAAAGAAGGTAGATGTTCCTTTGATTTACTACTTTCTCATAAATTTTAATAAGTTGAAAAAATTCACATCATTAATTTTCTCCATAACTTGCCAGTATCATTCTTTCCTTGAGCTCAGTGTAAATCAAGCGATGCACAAACATTATATACGACGTCTTGATCCGTCAGTTTAGACATTCTATTAACCCACATGTAAGGGATAATGCATGGTAGATCTTCACATATGTCAAAAAGCATCCTTAGAACGCACGAGATATTTTATGTTATAGTTTTCAAGATATCAGAGTGGAAAAAAAGGTATATATTAATTACTAATACCTAATA